GCACAAAGACTGTCCCTGACTCAAGAGACTACAGTTGTTGGGGGCTTTTGACAGCATCAATTTCTAATGCAGCCACATATTAAAAGAATTGTTTAAAAAATGATGGATTCCACTCTGTGCTTTCTTTTTAGATCTGCCTAGAGTTAGCTTTCGAAGCAGAGCAGGCTCTTTAAATATGTGCAACATGTAAGCTAAAGAGAATTAATGTTTATAGACAATGATATTCAGTGTATCATCCTTTTGCCTGAAATTCGTATAGAATGTTGGTGTTCTGCTACATGATTGCACAGCGTCTCAGTTGCTCGGACTATAGAAAACCTAGGCAGCATGTGCAGCAGTTCACTTATTTCTGCTTGGTCCGAAGCTCATAGCCAGCCTAAGGAGATTATGGACAACTCTCGTGAGTGAAACTATAGGATCAAAGAACTGCCTGTGGAGCACAGCCTCTCAATTATGTGCTGCTTGTAGAGGCTTAACACAAATGGTGCTCTTACCTAGGCTGACCTGGCTGTCATGTGAACCTTTCAGTTAGTAGAGTAAACTCATCTGCCTCCTGTACAGACACCTGACAAATGAACAGGAAATATTTAGGTGGAACTGAGATATTCTAGTGAGCTCTGTAGGTTGGTTGCTTAAACATATTCATGTCTACATACTGTATATCAAGAATAAAAAACCTTTAACTGTGGTACAGCATATGCTACTGAAGAAGTAACAAAATATTCAATGTGTTTATGACATCCACCAGCCTGAATAGCTCCCAACAAAGCCTAGGAACTCCATGTTACTACAAAATTGAAGATCAGTGCAAGGGAGGTGACGGACTTATGCCACAATAACTACAGTCAGGTCCATAAATAATGGGACATTGACACAATTCTAACATTTTTGGCTCTATACACCACCACAATGGATTTGAAATAAAATTAACAAGATGTGCTTTAACTGCAGACTGTCAGCTTTAATTTGAGGGTATTTACATCCAAATCAGGTGAACGGTGTAGGAATCACAACAGTTTGCATATGTGCCTCCCACGTGTTAAGGGACCAAAGCAATGGGACAGAATAATAATCATAAATCAAACTTTCACTTTTTAATACTTGGTTGCAAATCCTTTGCAGTCAATTACAGCCTGAAGTCTGGAACGCATAGACATCACCAGACGCTGGGTTTCATCCCTGGTGATGCTCTGCCAGGCCTCTACTGCAACTGTCTTCAGTTCCTGCTTGTTCTTGGGGCATTTTCCCTTCAGTTTTGTCTTCAGCAAGTGAAATGCATGCTCAATCGGATTCAGGTCAGGTGATTGACTTGGCCATTGCATAACATTCCACTTCTTTCCCTTAAAAAACTCTTTGGTTGCTTTTGCAGTCTGCTTTGGGTCATTGTCTATCTGCACTGTGAAGCGGCATCCAATGAGTTCTGAAGCATTTGGCTGAATATGAGCAGATAATATTGCCCGAAACACTTCAGAATTCATCCTGCTGCTTTTGTCAGCAGTCACATCATCAATAAATACAAGAGAACCAGTTCCATTGGCAGCCATACATGCCCACGCCATGACACTACCACCACCATGCTTCACTGATGAGGTGGTATGCTTAGGATCATGAGCAGTTTCCTTTCCTTCTCCATACTCTTCTCTTCCCATCACTCTGGTACAAGTTGATCTTGGACTCATCTGTCCATAGGATGTTGTTCCAGAACTGTGAAGGCTTTTTTAGATGTCGTTTGGCAAACTCTAATCTGGCCTTCCTGTTTTTGAGGCTCACCAATGGTTTACATCTTGTGGTGAACCCTCTGTATTCACTCTGGTGAAGTCTTCTCTTGACTGTTGACTTTGACACACATACACCTACCTCCTGGAGAGTGTTCTTGATCTGGCCAACTGTTGTGAAGGGTGTTTTATTCACCAGGGAAATAATTCTTCGGTCATCCACCACAGTTGTTTTCCGTGGTCTTCCAGGTCTTTTGGTGTTGCTGAGCTCACTGGTGCGTTCCTTCTTTTTAAGAATGTTCCAAACAGTTGTTTTGACCACGCCTAATGTTTTTGCTATCTCTCTGATGAGTTTGTTTTGTTTTTTCAGCCTAATGATGGCTTGTTTCACTGATAGTGACGACTCTTTGGATCTCATCTTGAGAGTTGACAGCAACAGATTCCAAATGCAAATAGCACACTTGAAATGCACTATCTGCTCATTGTAATTGGGATAATGAGGGAATAACACACACCTGGCCATGGAACAGCTGAGAAGCCAATTGTCCCATTACTTTTGGTCCCTTAACAAGTGGGAGGCCTGATTCACCTGATTTGGATGTAAATACCCTCCAATTAAAGCTGACAGTCTGCAGTTAAAGCACATCTTGTTCGTTTCATTTCAAATCCATTGTGGTGTATAGAGCCAAAAATGTTAGAATTGTGTCGATGTCCCAGTATTTATGGACCTGACTATATATATATATATATATATATATATATATATATATATAGTGGGAACTCGCATCAAAGGTAGAGTTTTCAAAGCACGCGGCCCGCTCGCTTCTTTTTTTTTCAGAGCCTTTTTGCCCAATTTTATTTAAAAGAAAAGTTCCACAAAAGTTCTTTCCACAAAAGTTCTTCCCACGCAGGGGTATCCACCATCAAACACATGAAACCATATTCAGCCTCCTGGCTTGTACACATACTGATGCCGCTCTGGCCTTCCACATCAGGCTCCCAGCTGTCTCCTTCCTAAATTTGGCTTTTAGCACACAGCTAGCCACTAGCACACAGCTACTCTGGCTTCCACCTCTCCTTGGTGAAGCCCTCCTGAGACCACCTATCTGCCAGGGTGGAGCCCTCCTGACCCCTGTCTTCCGGGGTGGAGCCAGAATCATGGTTAGGCCTCTATGAAAAGGCTTGCACACACCTGTGCAATCAGTATCCTGGCCATTCCCAAAACCTGGTCCCAGGATTGGAGATTTCATCCCTCCCAAATCGCTTTGAAATCTCCAAGCTCCAGGTCCCAAAATGGACCTTACAAACAAATGAGGAAAGTGAAAAGCCACTTTCCTCTGTATCAAACACTTACCCTGGAGCCCCTCAACCTGCCTTTTTGAGAATCCTGGGTGAAATAACCTTTCAACATCGAGACAGATTGCCACACTGTCACAATATATATATATATATATATATATATATATATATATATATATATACAGTGGGGATCGAAAGTTTGGGCACCCCAGCTAAAAATTTGTATTAATGTGCATACAGAAGCCAAGGAAAGATGGAAAAATCTCCAAAAGGCATCAAATTACAGATTAGACATTCTTATAATATGTCAACAAAAGTTAGATTTTATTTCCATCATTTACACTTTCAAAATAACAGAAAACAAAAAAAATGGCGTCTGCAAAAGTTTGGGCACCCTGCAGAGTTAATATCTTGTACTGCCCCCTTTGGCAAGTATCACAGCTTGTAAACGCTTTTTGTAGCCAGCCAAGAGTCTTTCAATTCTTGTTTGAGGTATCTTTGCCCATTCTTCCTTACAAAAGTCTTCCAGTTCTTTGAGATTTCTGGGCTGTCTGTCACGCACTGCTCTTTTAAGGTCTATCCATAGATTTTCAATTATGTTGAGGTCAGGAGATTGTGAAGGCCATGGCAAAACCTTCAGTTTACGCCTCTTGATGTAATCCCCCGTGGATTTCAAGGTGTGTTTAGGATCATTATCCATTTGTAGAAGCCATCCTCTCTTTAACTTCAGCTTTTTCACAGATGGCATCAAGTTACCATCCAAAATTTGCTGAAATTTTGTTGAATCCATTTTTCCTTCTACTCGTGAGATGTTCCCTGTGCCACTGGCTGCAACACAACCCCAAAGCATGATTGATCCAACCCCATGCTTAACAGTTGGACAGAGGTTCTTTTCATTAAATTCTGTGCCCCTTCTTCTCCAAACGTACCTTTGCTCATTCTGGTCAAAAAGTTTTATTTTAACCTCATCGGTCCACAGAACTTGTTTCCAAAATGCATCAGGCTTGTCTATATGTTCATTTGCAAAGTTCAAACGATGATTTTTGTGGTGAGGACGTAGAAGAGGTTTTCTTCTGATAACTCTTCCATGAAGACCATATTTGTACAAGTATCTCTTTATAGTGGAATAGTGTACCACAACTCCAGTGTCTGCCAGATCTTTTTGGAGGGATCGTGCAGTCAAACGTGGGTTTTGAATTGTTTTTCTCACAATCCTGCGAGCTGTTCTGTCTGATATTTTTCTTGGTCTTCCAGATCTTGCTTTAACTTCCACTGTTCCTGATGACTGCCATTTCTTAATTACATTCCGAACAGAGGATATTGACATCTGAAAACGCTTTGCTATCTTCTTATAGCCTTCTCCAGCTTTGTGAGCGTCAACTATTTTCAGTTTCAGTTTTCTAGACAACTGCTTAGAAGAACCCATGGTGCTGATTGTTGGGGCAAGGTCAGATGAGTCTGGGCATTTAAAACCTTTGAGATTGACATCACCTGGTCTTCCCAGACGATGATTGAGAACAATTCATGACACTGGCAGGTCTCAGCTTGGCAAAGGGGGCAGTGTATGCTATAAATTCTGCAGGGTGCCCAAACTTTTGCAGACACCATTTTTTTGTTTTCTGTTATTTTGAAAGTGTAAATGATGGAAATAAAATCTAACTTTTGTTGACATATTATAAGAATGTCTAATCTGTAATTTGATGCCTTTTGGAGATTTTTCCATCTTTCCTTAGCTTCTTTATGCACATTAATACAAATTTTTAGCTGGGGTGCCCAAACTTTCGATCCCCACTGTATATATTCTTATATACATTATATTGCCAAATGTATTGGGACAGGCCTCCAAATTATTGGATTCAGGTGTTTCAATCACCTCCATGGCCACAGGTGTATAAAATCAAGCACCAAGGTATGCAGACTGCTTCTGCAAACATTTTTGAAAGAATGGATTGCTGTCAGGAACTTGCATGGTACCATGAATGCCACCTGTGCAATAAGTCCATCCATGACATTTCCTTGCTACTAAATATTCCACGGTCAACTGTTAGTGGTATTTTAACAAAGTGGAAGCAACTGGAAACAACAGCAACTCATCCACAAAGTGGTAGGCAATGTAAAATGACAGAGCGGGGTCAGCGCATACTGAAGTGCACAGTGTGCACAAGTCGTCAACTGTCTGCAGAGTCAATAGCTAAAGACCTCCAAACTTCTTGTGGCCTTCAGATTAGCACAGCGACAGAGCTTCATGGAATGGGTTTCCATGGCTGAGCAGCTGCTTCCAAGCCTTACAATACCAAGTGCAATGCAAAGCGTTGGATGCAGTGGCGTAAAGCACGCCACCACTGGACTCTAGAGTAGTGGAGACGTGTTCTTTGGAGTTCTCTGTCTAGCAATCCAATGGACGTGTCTGGATTTGGCAGTTGCCAGGAGAACAGCACTTGTATGACTGTAATGTGCCAAGCGTAAAGATTGGTGGAGGGAAGATTTTGGTGCAGGGTTGTTTTTCAGGGGTTTGGCTTAGACCCTTAGTTCCAGTTAAGGGAACTTATAAGGCATCAGCATACCAAGACATTTTGGACAATTCACGCTCTCAATTTTGTGGGAACAGTTTGGGGATGGCCCCTTCTTCCTGTTCCAACATCACTGCGCACCAGTGCACAAAGCAAGCTCCATAAAGACATGGATGAGTGAGATTGGGGTGGAGGAACTTGACTGGCATGCACAAAGTCCTGACCTCAACCTGATAGAACACATTTGGGATGAATTAGAGCAGAGACTGCGAGCCAGACCTTCTCATCCGACATCAGTGCCTGACCTCACAAATGCGCTTCTGGAAGAATGGTCAGACAATCCCATAGACACACTCCTAAACCTTGTGGAAAGCCTTTCTAGAAGAGTTGAAGCTGTTATAGCTGCAAAGGGTGGGCCAAGTCAACATTAAACCCTACGATTTAAGACTGGGAAGCCATTAAAGTTCATGTGCGTGTAAAGATGGGTGTCCCAACACTTTTGTCAATATAGTGTGTATATGTATATATATATAAAAACAATAGACAACATGAGGATGGACATAAAAAAACACTTGGCACAATAAATCAATGTGTTAGTGCTATGTGGGTGAAAAACATATTTGACACCAGAGGGGTGGACATATTTAATGGCAAACACTACTGACATGCTGAAATAAACAATGGACACCTGGCTGTCTAGGAACAAGAATGAGCACTGAGACCAAGGCTTTCACTTACCTATAACGACAGAACTGGAAACCTCTAAATCATATCGTAAAGGCAGGATCTGCAGAATAGACGTAAATACCAATACAAGAAGTAACTAAAAAAAGTCAACGAACAACGCAACACATTTTTTTCTACACCAGCCAAGCATCCCTCCAACTGCCAGATCAGAATGAGCATAATACTTTCTCGTTTGCTCATTTTCCACTTTTGTAATATCCCATTCATTTCCATAGTTTCCCCCAGTAATAGGAGTAAGCCGGATAAGAGGGGCCGTTGTGACACCTATTAATAATATCAAGGAATTTTGTTAAAGAGTAAGGGCTAATTCACACCAGCGCATTTTAGCACAGCTGTACAATGCAGTTCAATGGAAGGACGTCTGAAAAACAATAATTTCCAATGTATCCTATTCACACCATAACAGTGCATTAAAGTGCAAAATGTACTGTATGTCAATGGACTTCAAAATGTATGTCAATGGACATCAGCAAGCGTTAAAGCACGACTAAAATGAATGGAAATGTACATGCATTTTAGTGCAAGTCAGTGGGAATTGGCCCTAAGTAAACCCTGACATTAACCAATTTAACTCCACCCTATAGCAAGATTACTGATACAGGGCAAACTACCATGATCGCTGGCCTGGTGGTGCTGTGATTCAGTGCTGCACCGAACAATCAGCAGATTCAGGCCAGTGATATTTGGCCTGGATTTGATGATTGATCTCTGTAGCTGTATTTACATTACACAGGCACAGGAAATGATGCAACTTTCTCTCCCTGGGCACATTCCATTCCAGACAGAGAGAGAGAGAAAGCATATCTATGTGAGTAAAAACAGCACACTTTTACGGTAAAAGCACAGCTAGGCCACATTTAACCCCCAGTTAACCCCTTCACTGCCCTGTAACCAGTGTTATTAGTACAGTGTACAATTTTTTTTTACTGATGACTGTATTAGTGTCACAAGAGACTTCAGATAGCGTTAGCATCAGTTAGAGTCAGTTAGCATCCCTAAATATAGCGTCCCTAAGTATAGTGTCCCCAAAATTGCAGCGTTAGCAGAATCAGCCCTGGCACCTGCCAGCACCTGCGTTTAGCCCAGGTGCTAAGCCCTCCCCCTTCTCCCCCAGCAAGTGCAGTGTCAGTAGATCACTGTCACTTGATACATTGTACACAAAACTGCAAGGTTAGCAATATCAGGCCTGATCTCTGCTTTCACTAGCAGGTACATTTTTTTTAGTGGTTCAAGCAGTTCCTGACAGCCAGGTGTTCTTTTTTCTGTGAGTCGCACTAGGTACCTATAAATTTAGTGACCAAAATGTCCAACGAAAGGTACTCTAGTGAAGAGGCCTATGGGATTCTGACCATGTCAGATGAGAGCGAAGGGGAAGACTCACTAACAGAATGTGCCTCAGAATACAAATCTGTAGACAGCAGCGGCACCCTGACAGCTGTGGACCTCACACCCAGGGAAGAAAACTTTGATTAGAATTTTAATGCAGCTTTGTCAGCCAATGGAAGTAGCTTAGTTACAGCCAGTATTTCTGGTAGGATCACCAGGTATCTTTTGCTATTATTGATAAACAAATACCAAGGGACCATGTACATATGTGGGCAAGATCTGTTATCTATAGAATTTGAATTTTGATCATATACACTTTAATGGAAGCTGCACATTTAAAAATATTGAAAAGTATTTTTAAAATTATTTTGACATGACAAATAGACCTTTCATTAACTTTACAAGTCCACATGATTATATTTATATATGGCATGTACAATATACAGTAGTATCATTTTTTCATAAAAGCTTCACCTTTTATCATTATTTTCTTAAAGCCATCATTGAGCTTGAGTTAGTTATTTTGCCTAGGCTGGGAGTATGTCATTTGCAAGCAGGAGGACACATTTCCTCAGTCTTCTCTCCACCAGTGATCTAACTGCAACATTGTAACTGTGTAGCAAGTCAAAATATAAGCAATTGCAGCAGGGTCAGATCTATGTCAGACATTTGTGAACACAGCTAAGAAGGATTTACATGATTGTGTCATCTCAGGGGCCCATATCTCAGTCCAGAAAATAGATGATTATCCTGGATGATAGGTAACCAAAGGTGATGCCATTCTCCTGGAGAGAAAAGCAGATGAAAGCATTGTCAAAGGTACTGTTATCTCTGTGAGAGGTAATGAATACCTAGAAGTGGTACATTATTTTGTATGCTGCGCTTAATATACATAATATACTTGATCATAGACCTGCTAGTTTCTAGGGGATTTTGATGATTGGGTTTACAAAAAGCAAACCTGAGCTTTACCTGTCTAGGGTACCAGGTGTTTTTCTTTTGCTCCCAGTTGCCAAATACAATGACATGGGAAGATGAGTATGTGCAATTGAGGAGGGAGTCCGGTGTACCTATTGCTTTGCCTTTTGCAAAACAAAGGATCACTTTAAATTAGGATGCAGGGACAGTTCTGCCATGTTAAACAGAAGAAGATTATTAGGTTTGCATACCAGATCTGAGAAAATCCCAAATTTGCTGGCAAATTTATACAAAGGGCATTGGCCAATGACAGTACATATTTTTAGACAGCGCTATAATCCTTTGACCCTCTATTTCATAATGTTAAGCCGTTGTTCTTATAATGGAATTGTGGTTTCGCTGTTGTAGAGTAGGGTTGTAATTCCTTAATACCTGTAGTCTGATAGCAGCTGCTATAGAATGTCAGGAGAGCAATATAAAACGGCATATTATGTTTATTAATATATATTTTAATATAATCATATGAGCTATCAGAGATATATTTTGTAGAATATTTTTCATTTCCATAATTTTATATGATACAGCTCTGTTGCTCACACAGTTTGCTGCCTTGAAATACCAGTTTTTTTTTTTTTATTTTTTTTTTTTCAGACAAATCTCAGCTCTGCAGAAACTAAGAGTCGCCTTGGGCAGTCCTCAGCTTCACTGGCCGATGTGCAATACTTTAGAGCAGAATGGGTCCACATAAACACAGCATCTTTTTAACAGCTCTAACCTTCCTTCTTTATGTTACAGTTTCTGGATCACTGGCACTCTAGCAGCGGCCCCAACAGAAGGATGAAACACAAAAACATAGCGAGGGGCAATTAGAAATATTTATTGCTGAACTTAAGGCAAATTAAAAAAAAATAAAATCATCTATGTAATAATAAAAAACACTAAATGCTTTTTGACATATAAATGGCATTTGTACCTAAATCTGCAGTATCTTGATATCAGCCTCCTACAGGTGTAGGTGGCAAGGCAAAAACTGGTAGAGGAAGGGTCAAGACTCTTAGCTTATTAAAGCTCTATTGCTTTGCACAGTATTTGTGAACCTAACAATGAACATGCTTACGGGGTGGGAGACAATAGGAGGAGAGGTGACTAAACTGGAAAAACTTAAGCAGCCATAATTTTGTCATGGTCATCCATCAGAATGGATCCTTGATATAGCCAATTATGGTAATAGATAATGTCTCCATATATAAGCAGACACAATGTAGCGCTGTGCAATACAAAACTGACCAGTAATGAAGGATCCAAATGGTGGGATTATCTTTCACCTGTTTTGTATTCATTGAGGTGGAGAGGAAGACTGTATATCAATATATTGTGTCTGCTATATATGGATACATTATCTCTTATAACTGGATATATCAAGGGATATCAAGGGAACAAAGTATCTATATTTAAAGGGACTATTCACTTCAATGTTCTGTGTAGTGATACATTTGTAAAAGATGATTTCAGGGACAAGTGAAAGGATGGATGCTGCCCAACTGACCCCAGGAGTCCAATGTTAAGGAATGACCTCAGCCGCCGTACTGGCCATGCCCTCTGATGCATTTTGCCCTGCCCACTGGTGGCTTGGTCACAGAGGTAGGCAGGGCAAAACGCATCAGAGGGCATGGGGTCAGTTGAGCAGCGTCCATCCCTTCACTTGTATTGGTTGACACTGGAATCGCTCAGGCTCATGCTCCCCTCCTTTCACTTGCCGGTGGGGTGATCCTTTCCCTTCCACCCATAAGGTATACTTTTCACTATGATTTCAGGGATGATATGTCTTGCTCTGGAATTATAGTATCTAAGT